TTATGGCTGCCAAACTTGGAAGTTTACTAAAAAAATAAGAAACAAGATAAATACCTGCCAAAGGGGAATTGAACGTAGTATGCTAAGTGTATGGAAAGCAGACAGAATTCGACACACAAAAATAAGAAGCATAACAAAAGCAAAAAACGCTTTGAGTTATGCTTTGAAGCGAAAGTGAAAATGGGCGGGACATGTTGCAAGACTTAGTGATCAGAGATAGACAATTAGAACAACGTTAAGGAAAGGACCGCAAGGGAAAAGAAGTATAGGAAGACCCATTACACGTTGGGAAGACGAAATAAAGATAACAGCTGGCACATCCTGGGCTCAAGAGATGGGCCTGATCATCGGCGCAGGATAGAGAGAGGTGGATGTCATTGGACGGGACCTTTACCCAAACAGGGGTTCCTACAGAATAAAAAAAAAAACAAAAAAATGACAAAAAAAAAATAATATTTTTTCACAATTGTAAAAAGTGCGTAGTTATAAGTACAATATTTTTTATACTTTATGTACATCTGTAAGGAAATAAATGGCTTTATTTCTCATTTCTGAGTTGTCCCCTCAATGTATTGTTTGTATTAGGACCGTATTTATTCAATTTTTCAACGTCTATTAATTTAACACAAATAACGAACTCACCGCAACGAAAATCCAACATGAAAAGACATATTTTGGAAACTATGCCCGGTACTTCTAAACAAGTAGATATGACAATAACATAACACACAATAACATCACCACCGAGGAAGTGGGCTGTCGAAGGAGTTTCTATAGTTTTAGGTTAAATGCCATTTGCGAAAAAAGAAGAAATTAATTTTTAAAGTGAGAAATGTCAAACTTTTTTCATGGTCTTTTTTCTGTAAATATTACGCAATACATGTTTCTTTGCTCGATTTAAAAGTGATTTTTTTATTTAAAACCTAAACATGGGCTGAGTGGAAACTGGATTTTTTTTTAATAAAAAAACCATCCTACTTTGTGTTAGTATTTATTTAAGTTATAATGGAACAGTATTTATTTGTTGATTGTTTAATATGCTTTTTTTGGCTGTTTATTTAAATAATGGACGATCTTCAGATACTTCAGTAGAAGTGTGTTTTAAATATTTTACTGCGTTAAAATTAACTAATTGTTTACAGGTAAACAAAAAAAAAGACCTTTTCAAAAACTAGCTGAAGCAAAATTAGGATATATAGCGTTGCAAAAAGTCATAGAAGAAGAACTAGAAGAAAACTCCTCAAAAAATAAATGTTAAAAATCAAAAAAATCTTTTACAGATAGACATTTTGAAAATTGAATTAGATAACACAAATTTAAGCTACATATGTTTTTTATTTTATATCATATTCATACCCTTAACGGTCGGGACAGAATTTGGAACAAAGTGTAACCTAGAATAACGCATAGGCTATTTTTTAATTTTATTTTTTGTTGTCCGTGGTATTACTCCCATTGCACTGACTGTTCTATAATAATGTTGAAAAATATTCTTAATGTATGTACTTTTTTAATATATGTCCATACTCTGCATTCGACTGTCGAGACGAGTTACGACATTTTGAAATTAAGAGAAAAATATCTGTTGGGATCATCTACAAGATGGCCTAAAGTTATAAACAAATTGGCACCAATATACTGTTAAGAACAAAAGTAGTACCGTGCTGTAGAATTGGCACAACTCTAGATTATCGGCATAAACGTGACGTCCCTAGCTGACAGCTGTCAATGTCACTAGAAGTATGGATAGATTGGCGAGCAACCTGATTCCTAACGAAAAGTGTTGCTCTGAGTTTAAAGCGACAGTATCAATTAAACAAGTTGTCTAAAAATACTTAGTAAATTGTATTAAAAAAAAAAACATTGTAAATTTTCTTGAAATAGTCGAAGAAACATCTTCTTCAACCTATTACATAGATATGCAGTTGAAAATTGTTACAAACAGGAAAATATTGCATTGTAATCTCAACAATACAATTCACCACACTAATACATAGCTATGTGGTGGAAAACTGTTACAAACAGCAAAATATTGCATTGTAATCTCAACGATACAATTCACCACACACTAATACATAGCTATGTGGTGGAAAACTTTTACAAACAGGAAAATATTGCATTGTTATCTCAACGATACAATTCACCACACACTAATACATAGCTATGTGGTGGAAAACTGTTACAAACAGGAAAATATTGCATTGTAATCTCAACAATACAATTCACCACACAGTAATACATAGCAATGTGGTGGAAAACTGTTACAAACAGGAAAATATTGCATTGTAATCTCAACGATACAATTCACCATAAACAAATACATAGCTATGTGGTGGAAAACTGTTACAAACCGGAAAATATGGCATTGTAATTTCAACAATACAATTCACCACACACTAGTTCATAGCTATGTGGTGGAAACCTATTACAAACAGGAAAATATTGTATTGTAAATTCAACAATCCAATATTCCACACACTAATACATACAGATAGCGCGCGAGTTGAATGCAGTCGGGGTCTGAGGAAAAGAGCGGGAGCATCTCCCCCCGCTGTCCCCACGCCCCACTTCACGCGCCTGCAGTGTAGTGCTGTGTCATACTTGTCAACTATCATACGTTTGCCGTGTTATTGTGTTAATACTGCAGTTCCCGTGTTATTTTTTTATTTTAATAATGACTGATCCCAGTCCATCGAGTTCCGTTACAAATAAAGGAGATTTTACTAATCGCCGAGCTCGAGAAACGGCGAAAAATGTTTTAGACATGTGTGTTGAAGAAAGGCAGACCAAAAATTTGACTTTGAATTTGAGTCTAAGAAATGGCTTCTTTGTTCTCCTTCTAAAAACGCCATGTATTAAAAAGAAAAATTTAAATGTCGATGATTTTGATCGAAGTGTTGATGTTAATTGTTAATCTACATCTAAAAGTGTTAATTGTAATTTTAAAGCGAATCAATAGTTAAATACAGAGAATCAGACTTTTATTAGAAGCTAAACAGAAAGAATCGCATATTAAACTTGAGGGCTCGTCCGGGATCGCTTCGATAACGTCTGCTATAAGAAGACGCTACACCAGATGAAACGACGACGTTAACGAGAAGGTTTACTAAGAAGGTAACACGTCGATTATATAAAAGAGGATATAAAGAACTATGGACAAAACTGATTTCTGCACGATGTCGGAATATGACGTACGAAATTTCACAGGCGAAAACAAAACGCACACAGCCAGCAAATGGGCGCAAGATATAGAGGAAAACCAAGAAGTATTCCAATGGAGTGAAAAGCAGAAATTAATTATTTCACGTCAAACTTTAACAGGTACGGCTGAGCTCTGGCTACGTTCTGAGCGAACTTTTAGAACATATGAGGAATTAAAAAATGCTCTTTTAAATGAATTTCCCGATACTATTAATACAAAAGAATTGCATAAAATAATGGCTTCTAAGAAGAAAACACGCGAAGAGAACTGTTACCAGTATATGTTGGGTATGAAGGAGTTGGGAAGATGGGGTAAGTTTCCAGATTACTTTGTTATACAGTACATTATAGATGGTTATAACATTGTTTAAATTTATCGACATACATTACTCTTTTTATTTAACTCGCGCACTATCTATAGCTATTGTTGGCGATGCAATAATCCTTTTTGTATTTTCATTTTTAATCCTTTTTTTAAAATAAGAATGTTTATTTTTTTTTATTTATTCTTTTGTAAATATTTGAAGCAGTGTTCGAGCAGATGTCACACACAACGCTAGGCTGAAATGTATATATTTGTTTAATTTGTAAATTTTATTAAAAGTTGTTTTTAGTTTATTTCTTATTTATTTTACTCGCGCGTACCTTCCCGTACGAGATCGTCTCTTTCAGCTATGAAGAGGAAAACTGTTACAAACAGGAAAGTATTGCATTGTAATTTCAATAATACAATTCACCACACACTAATACATAGCTATGTGGTGGAAAACTGTAACAAACGGGAAAATATCGCATTGTAATTTCAACAATACTATTCACCACACACTAATACATAGCTATGTGGTGGAAAACTGTTACAAACAGGAAAATATAGCATTGTAATTTCAACAATACAATTCACCACACACTAATACATAGCTATGTGGTGGAAAACTGTTACAAACAGGAAAGTATTGCATTGTAATTTCAATAATACTGTTCGAACCAAAGACAATTACGTCAAAATCCAGCGTTTTTACTCTGTGACAAGGCTGACAGTCCAATCGACAGCGTCGCTTCCGGGTTCTCTTTGGCCCCAACCTCAAGACGAAGCGGAGCAAATTCAACAAGTCTTTGTCATTGCTTGTTTTAATTAAAGTTATATTAGTCATCGAGTTTTATTATAACTTTTCAAAACACAATGAACAAAAGTGGCGACCGTGACAGGACCTGCAGCAAATTAATTCGAAAAAAGAAGATCCGCTGTCAAGATCCACCACGTGGGAGATCAAGCAGCCTCGGTTTTAATCGAAAAACTATGCATCAAGTGAGCCCGTTCCTTATTTTCCCCTAGTGTTCCCTTCTCGATTTGTGTAGGGTGTAATCAAATTGCGGAATTAAATATCCGTGATGCATTTGAGCAAGAATTTGACAATTATATCTCACTAGCCCAAAACTTCATAGACTCCAAATCGACCCCTAAAGAGAACCCCTCATTTTGTGATGCCGAGTCAAACGCCTCTCATTGCAACCATGACAAGTGTTCGGGCCTAGGTTTCAAATTACCCGATATAAAAATTCCTACCTTTGACGGCACATACTTTAAATGGCTAGAGTTTAAGGAAACTTTTTCTTCACTAGTTCATAAAAAGGAATGGTTAAAAATATTCACAAATTCCATTATCTTTTGTCATATTTGGAAGGAGAAGCCGCTCGCGTTCTTTGTAATTTAGAGGTAACAGATTC